TTTCAGTTTTTGACACAGGGTCTCCCTGTAGCCCCAGCTGTCCTGGAACTCAGTATGTACACCAGACTGGCCTTGAACTCACAGAGATCTGCTGCCTCAGCCTCCCAAGTGCTGGGATCAAAGGAATGGGCCACCACACCCAGCCCCTACAAAAATGCTGAGGTGCCACAGACAGGTCAGCCTGCAAAGGTGCCCAGTCTGAATAATGTGTAGCTGTTCTGTCTGGTGGAGTCCTTCAGTTTGTAAAATCAAGGACTCTGTGTTGGTAGAAGCAATGAGGTGACTAAAAGAATTTAAATAAATCATCAGTTTGGACCTGTGTAGGGAAAGGTCAGAGAAGCACTTTAAGGTCAGGGGAAAGTGTACTTACCATGTAGGATTGTCAATCACTATTGGTTTTCTGTAACTTTTTCATATGAAAGAGGCATGAGTCCTACTACCAATCAAACAGTGGTGCTTACCTAATGACCCCTTGGTGGATTTCAGATTCAAGATGGTCTGACCCTAACTCACAACCTGTTGTATTACTGTCTGTCAATAACACAGAGGCCATACTATTCAAGAAGTATCAGAAATCAGGACTGACTATAGATCCTGAGGGGTCTGAACCTAATCTAACTTGAGAAAGGCCCTCTAATAGAAACATGCACAGAGCCCCAAGGAGAACCTTGGCAGAGGCCTATCAGTGAGGAGCCTTTGAGCTTAGGTTCCATTCAGCTCAGGACAAATCTACCTCCACTGGAGCCTTTGTACAAACTTTTGTAATGCAGGGGGAAAGAATGCTTCAACTTTCAAACACACTCCAGGAACTGTCTCCTGTGTGTCATAAAATTCCCATTATTTTCCCTTGGCAACTTGCCTTTGGAAAGAGATGCAAGAAGCTTGAATCTTACTATAGGGAGTATTTCCTGAGGCAAATTGTCTTCATCTGTTAGGAGTTCAACTCCCAACACCCACTTAGTGATTTGTGACCACTGTGAAAAACATTTTTTTTAAAAAAAGGCTGTGCATGGTGGCAACTGCCTTCAGTCCCAGCACTTAGAAAGCAGAGTCAGGCAGAGTTCTGTGAAACCGAGGCCAGCCTGGTATGCATAGTTGAGTTCCAAGCCAGCTGGGGCTATAGAAAAAAATGGGTTCTATGTAACCCAGGCTGACCTTGAACTCCTGGACTCAAGACATCCTCCTGCTGGACCTATAAGCACATACCATGTCTGCCTTACTGTGCCATTTATGATAGTAACTGAATTCTTCTGAGGAGTACAGCTCCATTCAGATCACACGATGTGAGTACCAGTCGTGATTTTCTCATCAGGGAGCAATCCCTCTTTCTATTAACATGGATATAGAAACTAGAGATAACAGGTTAGTGCCTCCTACTTTATCAGTCTTTGCTAATCCACCACCCAGACCTACTTTGCCTGAAATTCAGACTCTCAGGGTTCTTTCTCCAAGTTAGGAGTCAACAAATTGGTGGTGGAGAGAGGTGGCTGCTTGCTGTAAAGGAACATCTGCAGGAATAGTTCATCCAGCTCCAGCATATCTCTACTTCCTGCTTCAGTCTACTGAGTGCAAGTATGGTATTACAAGCATGAGCTGCCATGCCTAGCAAACAACATGGCATTAAAATGTTATTATTATTATTTTGTTTATTTTTATTTTATGTATTCAAGTGTTTTGCCTGCATGCAAATAAGTGCACCCATATGCAAGGCCTGTGGAGGCCAGAAGAGGCCGTTGGATCCCCTGGAACTGAAGGTATGGACAGTTGTTAGCCACTATGTGGGTGCTGGGAACTGAACTCAAGTCCCATGGAAGAGCAGCCAGTGCTCTTAACCACTGAGCCATTTTTCCAGCCCAATATAGCTTTTTTTTTTTTCCTCATCTGAAAGGGAATAGAACCTAATTTTCTCTTTAGAAAAAAAATTCAAATATTCTATGGAATCAGGCTAGAGCAATAAATTTCCTTTATGAATATTTTTTATCATATAGCTTAATGGAGACACAATCTTATCCCATCGTGCAAAGGTGCCTTGTTGCACACAGATAATTCATCACTTCAGAGGTATACACGTCCTGAAAACTAGTGTTCTGGATGATTGGGGACATAGGTCCCTGGGGCAGTTTTTCAGGACTTTTCTGCTTTACCATTTCTAAGAAAGCATCCACATCTTTTGCTTCCTGGGGGACTCTGTGTTAATCTTTGCTCTTTGCAGTTACATGGCATCCCTCCAAGCAGCTAGGAACTGTGCATGTGAACAGGAATCAGAGTCAAACTCACAAGTGGAATTCCAACACCATTAGTATATCAGAGCCTTGGCATTGGGGCCTCTTGACAGTGTCTACTGAGTGCTACTTGAGTGATGTCTTCTAGTGCCCACGCTGAAGGTCAGGACTAGGAAAGCAGAGGGTGCTGCATACTTTACATAAGCCTCTTGCTCTCTGCTTAGTTTCCTCAATGGAAAAGAATGGATCTTAGTACTTTTCACAGTTCACACAGGGCTTACACCCGGCGAGTCAATTACTGTATGAGGTTTTTGACACATAGCTGTTTTGCTTTTTCCCCCCACATGTTTAGCTTCTACTTCACTTACAACTTCTGTAAAAACTGCATTCCATGCCATTCCTGAAATGTTCCAAAGCTCAGTTCTGAGAGTACACTGCACCCAAGGTTTCTATTTAAAAAAAAAGACATAAGCCAATAAAGAGGTTCTTCAGAAGATTTACATGTCAGT